TTTAACATCCACCCAGCTATTTGGTCAAGTGCCTTGTTTCTTGGGAGTTGCCTTCTGTAACTTCTCTAATTTCATCCCACTCTCCTGTGAGTACAAATTCTGGTTCTAAGGACCTGGATCCCATATTGCCTTGCACTGGGATTGGGAATTAGTGCCCTGCAACTCCTCCTATTGTGCCAGTGTAGATCCTGCTGTTAGTACAGCTATTTGCAGGTGCCCTTGTGTTTAGCTGAACCTTTGGACTCAGTTTAGTGGGGATGGACTCAGAGACTGAGATCACTATCCTGCTGTGTAGATCCCAGTGTGCTTGTACTGTGAATTTTTGGCATGCACATGTGGCTATAATTTATCTCATTGTGCTGGTGCTACTTCCTTGGTGTGATGATCGTGAAAATAGTGTCCTGATGTGATGGTGGTCACTCTGTGCTGTTCATGTGAATCTTGCATTTTTGTATGCTGTGTTGGTGTAGCCCTGTTGTTCCCAGGAAATTAGAGCCACAAGGTGGGTGAGGTAATATCTTTTATTGGAGCAACTTTTGTTGGGGAGAGAGAGACAAGCTTTGGCGCTTTCACGGAGTTCTTTCTTCCTGAAGAAGAGTTCTGTGAAAGCTCAAAGCTCGTCTCTCTCACCAACAGAAGCTGGTCCAATAAAAAATATTTTACCTCACCCACCTTGATATATATTGCCCCGCCCCCCCCATATTACCTCACCATTTATCCTAACCTTTCGAGATTGTACCACATTTTTCTGACCTTGCCAATAAGTAGCGCAGTTGCAGAACGATCCTTTACCCAACTTAAAAACTTATAAAGTCCTACCTGTGCTCTACAATGGGTGAAGACAGATTGTCTGGGTTAGTTTTGCTCTCCATTGAAAGACAATTGGCTACTGAAGTAGATTATAATAAAGTAATAGATAAAACTTTGCTAGAATGAAGCTTAGACGAAAGAGGCTGTTGTAGTTGCTTCATAGATCATATCTTTGAAATATAAAATAAGTAAATAACACGTGTTGTTTTGATTTTATATACAATACTGTAAACCTTTTTTATATTTTAAATGCAAAATAACATACTTATAAAACAATATCATTCTTGTGTTTTTATTTTAAGTACAAAACAAATATGTATAACAAATTTAAAAGTATGTAACTAGTAATTTGATATGGCGGCGGGTGGCGCCTTTTTTTATATGTGTTCGCTCCCCCTGATGTTAGAACCTGGCTACGCCACTGTGCAGAGATATTCTGGTGAGCAGTTGGCCTTCTGCAATAATTGCCTAGAACTGATCTCTGTGTTCTGCTGATAAAACACTCAATAAAGAAGTTCAGCTCGGTATAATCTGTATGTTGTACTTTGCCATCCATGTCTGGTAGTTGGCAATTCTAAATTGTAAAGTAGATGCCAAATATGATTTTCTGCTCAACAGGTCGAAGTGCTTATGATCTTTATCATAGGGTGTAGATATAGTTCGGTGCTGCCTTCCACATTTGTTATCCACCTTGACCACCAAGGAGTTAGAGGGACAAGAAAATAAAAATGTTGAGCCCTTAGAGGGGGACATAATATTTTTATCCACTGTCTTGCACATTGGCAAAATTGTGGTCAGGGTGTGCCAGATAACAAGGCCCTCCTGGATTCTACAAAGGTTAACAGGCAGGGGAATGTGAGCAGATGAAGCTGTATAAAGGATGTCAGGCAGCTTATGATGTGGTTCTTTAATCTCCTCAAGAGATCTGCAAAGAATCTGCAACTCTTACTAAACTCTGGCGGTTCCAAGACATCAGCAGCCACAGATGGTGGAGGTTGCAGAACTGCTTCATCCAGGCAGGAAGAAGAGATGTTGACTGGTGGAGAGACCTCTTCATCAGCCCGAGTTTCCTGTTCCTCAAGAGGTTTCTTCCTGAAGTTCTGGTCTCCTAGATAGGGAGGGTGATGGAGGTTGTCTATGTCTGAGATGGGTAGTGCTTGAGGCACTAGTTAATTGCTGATGATAGGTCACCCAAGGGTCCCAGTATGGCCAAGTGGGTGGTGCACATGGATTGGGTGGAGACATCCACGAGTGCTGATACCAGCAAGATTGTGGACATCTCTCACAAGTGATTTCAATTTCCTCAGAAACCTCTGGAAAAGAGCTTCTATAGAGATGGAGAGGAGAGTCTTGGACAGATATTTGAGAGACCAAGTCAAGATCTTCAGAGTGATTTAGAAGAGGAGGATTCTGATGAAGTAGTGGAGCACCAGAAGAAACCGGAGCTAAAACTGTCAGTACTGGACAGGTGTCCAGGGATCAGGTGGACATTGGTGCCAAAAGAAGACTGAAGCTGAGCAGTGGTGATTCGGGCATCTTGGACACGGCTAGGTCTTTGGGAAAAAAAATGAAACTCCTGTGGTACTGGAGTGTGGTTAGTATCATGTTCATGGCTTGAGCCGAAGTAATGGTAGCTGAGGGAGCTGATGGTACCGTGAATCTCTAATGCTCTGAGTGGAGTACAGATGAAGCCCATGCGATCTTCTTCAGTACTGAGTGAGTAGCAGTAAAGCTCTTTGTGATGCCCCGTTCCTCTGATGGTACTGGTGGCCTATCAGAGACTGACATTTTGAAGTCTTTAGGCTTAACAGTACCCTGGGTACCTGAGGAACCATCAGCCACGTGGGACCAGGTCAGAGTCTGATGGGTGCCGAAGTGGCTGGACTTATCAGCAACTGTGACTTCTTTGAGGCAGATTCCTACCTGGACAACTTTGGGCCTGGCCTATGGAAGTCCAAAGAGGAAAACCCAAGACTCCTCTCATAAATGTCCTCGAGGAGTGCGGCTCGGAGACAGTAGAGGTAGCAGACTTATTTGAAGAACAGCATATGGGGGGTACCCTGGCCAGGGTCAGAGACATGGTGCAGCAAGCTCTTCATCATGAGGAACCAAAATTTGATCTCCCTGTTTTTTCTGGCTCTAGATTTTCATGCTAGACCAAAGGCACTTTTTGGAAACATGAAGTTCCCTGAAGCAAAAGATGCACCAGGAGCGTTCATCACATACCAGGATTGCCTCCCGATACGATAGGAAGAACTGGGCATGCATGCCCTTCCAGTAACAAAGTTCTGAAGAGGGGAGAAACTATCCAGGGGGTAACAATCCTTAAAACTATTAATTTAAAAAAAATAAAAATAAAAAAAAAAGTTTTAAACTACAGCTAGTACTACTACTAAAATAAACTACTATAAGAGCTATGGGGGCACAGCTGAGGTAAACTCAACATGGACAACTGCTAAGACTCGGTCTCAAGTGCAGGCAATTTAGAAGAAACTGAAGGCAGTTAGCCAGCACAGCATTATACAAAAGTGCGGAGCATGAGTAAGTAACACTGCTACATGAAATCTCTGCTCAGAGGCGCAAGCTTCTTTCGGGGGGCGTGAGGGGGGGAAGGGTGGTTAGTGGTTAGATTTATTGACCTTGGGCCTATTTTTCACACCACAGAAAATATTTGCAAGCTTTTTTATTTATAAAAATTATATATATTATTCTTTATTTATTTATTTATTTATTTATTTAACCTTATCATTCTACCTTCTTGTGATATACTGCTAATGATGAAATATATATATTTATATTTCATCATTAGCAGTACATCACAAGAAGGTAGAATGATAAGAAGGTTAATCTATGTAATTAGTCATGTAGAGGTTCGGACCACCTTGGTCTGAAGCACACTAATATTCTCCCCGCACGCCCCCCCCACAATGGACTTGCATGTGTTCTCGTAGTTAAAACTATTTTAAATTCTCCATTTCTTTTTCTAAATACTTCTGAATGGTCTGTACTCTTATTATGAGAGGTCCCTCACTTGCAATGGTCTCTTCACCCTTCCAAATTTTAAGTGAATGACTTTCAGATACGTTTGACAAACTGAATGCAGGTTCCGAAAAACATATTGAACTCTAAGCAAACTTTGTACACTTCAGTTTTCCTTAGGGAAACTAATTTGATAGGATATGTTAGGGACATTTTAGTATTTGGTACATTTAGCATCGGGCTTTGACTAGTTCTATGACAACTATGGAAAATGCTATGTTGATATTGCCCATCAAAAGGGGAAAAAAAGAAAAAAAAAATCTATTCCCAAGAAAAAGATAGGAACGGTTTAACTTGGGTGTTTTTGCAAGTCTGAGAAGTTAAATGTTAAAATCTTCTAGTAATGCTTTAATAAAATCTAAGTCATATCCGGATTAGGTCTAGACACCTTCCCAAAATAGAAGGCTGCCCATCCCTTGGAAGCCAAAACTTGCTTGTCAATTTTTAGGGTGTGACTTTTACTTAAGTTACAGGAGCTGACTGTTTAATTACAGATACAGTCATATTATACTATATAAAGGAAAGGGACAGCAGAGCTCAACTGGGAGTAGTATACTACTCCATATGTAACTGTGGTAGTAAAATTCAATTAAAAAGGAGTAAATCTTATTCGGGGGAGTAATTGCTTAACTTGTCACAAGATAAGGAGGAGTGGAGGCTAAACAGCTTGCTAGGAGTGCAATAATTGTTGATGCAATCATGGCTGTTGTACAGATGAGTTTTGAATGTAGCAGAAAGTTAGAGCACAAAAATATGCATATTGACCATATGACAAGCAGATTTACAGAAATGGTTGAGTAACTATATAAAACTGAGTTGACTAGACAAGACAATTCCATTTAAACGAGGCTTAGTATGTCTGTGTGCAGGTTATACATAGTGTGCTGCCTAGTTTTGAGATCTCAGTCAATTGTTTGTTTGTTTTTTTTGAGGTAAATTGTATGACCAGTCATTAAAAAGTTAAATAAAACAAATTTCATAAAAAACTCACATGTAATCCTCAATTACACTTGCAGCAACCTTTCCACAAGCATCAAAGAACATGAAATATCCAGAAAGTGGCATTTGTATTTTCAATTCTCGTGAAGAGTTTGAAATAGGAGTACATATATAATCAATAAAAAGTGAAAAGTTATCAAAAGCTTACTAACCTTTATTGTCTGCCGCTATAAATCCAAGGATATTTTCATGACGTAGCATAACAGTTTGATAAATTTCTGCCTCACGAAACCATGAGCGTTCTTCTCTTGAAGAGAATATCTTCACTGCAACTTCTTCTCCTCTCCATTTCCCTCGCCAGACTTCTCCAAAGCGACCTTTCCCAATGCTTTCTTGAAGTATGATAGTCCTTGCAATTGTTCTTTGAACAAGTAAAGGTAGACCAAAAAAAAAAAAAAAATTGAGCTTAAGCTCACTCAACTGTTAATTGAAAAGATCTGTTGCTTATAAAGCAACAGATATATAGTGCTTGCCTTGATTAGTTAAGAGCTAGGGATAAACAACAGTCCTCCTCATCTTACTTCATACATAATCTAAATTAGGAGTTCAATTCTTTTGGAAGATCGGTCCTTTTAAGACAAGCCTTCCTAAACATTTATTTGTTTGGCAACCTTGAAAATACGAGCAATTACAAGTACCAAATGATTAAATCAAATTCTAAAGATGGATTTGTAACAAATACAGTAAATGTGAAATTAGTTTCCTTTGAGTTTAAAGTTTTGAACTACTCATGCGTTATTGCATTCTACATTAAATGTAGCCACCCGGGAAGACATTTGAGCATCATTCCGAAAAGTGGTTTAAAAAAAAAAAAATGCAGCGATGCATGAAGAAAGAAAAATCAAAAACATACCATTGCATTATTTTAAAGAGTGATTTTATGAAAAAAAATACACCCTCATCTATCAAGCTCCATTTCTAGTCACTCTACCACAAAACAAACTAGAAAAAAAAAGTCCTGAGAAGGAAAAGAAGTTAGAGACATTAAGAAACTCATTTATGAGCAAAGATGATATAGTGGTTAGAGTACTAGCCCACTCCAGCACAGCCTTCCTATGTGCCCTTGGACGAGTCACTTAATCTTAGGTTTCACTATATGCAAAATGGGGATAATAGTTGGACACGTCCGAGACAAGGAAGTAATTACTGGTATCCCTTGCCAATTTGACTGGTTAGCCCATTTTCAAAGCCTACTGGGTTATTTTGGTTAGCAGGAGAAATTAATGATTGGTCAGGGTTTTTTTTATTTTATTATTATTATTTTTAATAAAAACACACAACCTTGTTTATTTACAAAGAATGCAGGAAGTCTTATATCCCTGAATACAACTGGAATAATCAAACAGCAGGAGACAGTTGCTTTGCTCACAGTTCCAAGTCTATTTCCAACCAGCACTTCACCCAAAAGCTCTCTGCATTTTATTTTTGTTTGTGTCAGGATCATGCTACCAGAGTTTCTCCAGCTGCAAGGCCACATCCACACAAGTGAATTCAGAGTGGCACTGCTGTACTGATGATGCTGTGCCGCTGTAAGATTGCTGGTGTAGCCGCTCTATGCCAACAGGAGAAAGCTCTCCTGTTGAAATAAAACCACCTCAATGAGCAGCGGTAGCTATGTCAGCAGGAGCAGCTCTCCAGTCAACGTAGTGCCGTGCACACTACCACTTATGCTGATAAAATTTATGTCACTCAGGTGGTAGTGTAGACATGGCTAAGGCTTCCTTGGGCACGTCTATACTGGCAGAGTTACAGCACCGCTCAGAGAGCGCTGAAGAGAAACCGCTGTTGTGTGTTCACACTGTCTGCTGCCTGCGCAATAGCATGTTCACACTTGTGGCACTTGCAGTGGTATTCAGAGTGGTGCACTCTGGGCAGCTATCCCCCAGAGCACCTCTTCCTCTTCTGCTGCTAAGAGTTGTGGGAAGGCGAAGGGGGTCACGGGGCATCCTGGGCCATGTCCCAATGCCTCGTGATGCATTGCTTCGCATCCCAGCAATCCCCGCGCTTCCATCCACATTTGGTGCCATTTTTCAACGGTTTCTGTATTGCGCGCCCTGCCTCTTCAGGCTGCAAGAATGGATCCCGAACTGTTGACCAGTATGCTGCTCGCTAGTACCAACATGTCACAAATGGCAGTGGAGTTATTCCTTAAACTACGAAGGCAAGAGGAGTGCGACATTGATCTCGCCATGTGTAGTAGCTACGACACGAGATTTCTTGCAGCATTCGTGGATGTACTAACCACAGTGGAATGCCGCTTTTGGGCTCAGGAAAAACACTGAGTGGTGGGATCACATCATCATGCACGTCTGTGATGATGAGCAATGGCTGGAGAATTGCAGAGGAAAGCCACATGGGAAAGTCATGGGACTGTGTGATGAGCTTGCCCCAGCCCTGTGGTGGAAGGACATGAGAATGAGAGCTGCCCTACAGCTGGAGAAGCGTGTGGCGACTGCACTGTGGAGGCTGGCTACTCCAGACTTCTACTGATCGGTAGCTAACAATTTCGGAGTGGGAAAGTTGATGTTGGACTTGTGTTCACGAAAGTGTGCAGGGCCATTAATCGCATCCTGCGCCAAGAGACCGTGACTCTTGGCAACGTACGTGACATTGTGGATGGCTTTGCACAAATGGGCTTCCCTAACTGTGGAGGGGCAACAGATGGCATGCATATTCCAATTATGACACCAGACTACCTAGCACATTAATTGCAAGGGGTATTTCTCAATGGTTCTCCAGGCACTTGTGGTTTGGAAAGGTGCATGACACACACATCTTTCAGCATACTGGCCTGTTCAGAAAGCTGCAAGCAGGGAATTTCTTCCCTGACCAGAAGAAAAAAGTCCACTGGCGCTGCCTCTATGGGAGGCTGGACCTGGCCAATGACAATACTCCTATGCTTATAGCTGCGTACCGTATGCTCCATAATATTTGTGAAGGGAAAGGTGAAAGCTTCACTCAGGGCTGGACCACAGAGGCTCAGCGCCTGGAAGGCAGAGTTTGAACAGCCAGAGACCAGGGCTATTACAGGGGTGCAGCGCAGGGCCATAAGGATCAGGGATGCCTTGAGGCAGCACTTTGAAGCTGAAAGCCACTAATATTTATTGCTATGCTCCGGAGTGCAGTGCTTATAATGCTAGGTGGTGATTGGTGCACAAGATGTGGGTTTAACATAATTGTATGTTGCTTTGCAGGGCTCATTTTGCTTTCCATTAATAGAACAAAGATTGCTTTCAAACCAACACAATTATTTTATTAAAAGACAACCACCGGAGGAGAGAGAAACAAAAACAAACACACACAAAAAATCAGCACTGAGGGGGACAAGGGAAGGGAAGGTCCCAGGAGGAGGAGGGGTCACAGGACAGCTAAAGATTTGTGTATGTCCAAGTATCATATCCAACCTTCTCCTTTGGAGTACAATGCAGCAGGTACTGTACTTCAGCAGGGACTGAAACTGCAAACTGCAGAGGGATGGGTGTTGAGTGCAGTGGGTAGCGTGAGTCTGCAGTGCTGGACTGTGAGGGGGGAGGAGTGGAAAGCCATGGGTATAGACTGGAGCCAGGAGGTTGATAAGAGTGTGTTGGTGGTGTCTGGGGGGCGTGCATGGGAAAGAGTTTTGCAACAGCAGCTGCAGGGAAGGGCGGCTGCAGAGCTGCTCGGTTTGAAGAGCTAGTATTGCCTGGAGCGAGTCTGCTTGGCACTCCATTTAGAGCCGCTTTGTGGCTTCATTGTAGCATGTCATGGTCTCCTTCTGGTCTCTCTTCTCGCTGTCCCGCCACTCCTTCAATTCCGGTTTCTCAGTGGCGGAGTGTATCATAACATCACGCAGAAAGTCCTCCTTAGATCTTCTTCGTCGTTTTCTAATGCTGCGCAGCTGTTCAGCTGCCGATAACAGAGAGGGAGGCTGGGCTCCCAAGGTCATCTCTGAAGTTTAAACGCAACATTTTACAGAAGCAGTATTGTCTGCAACACAGAGAACACTGATTCAGTGATTTAAAACACAGCCAGTACTCACACACCTGTCACTAACTGGCTGACCCCAGGCAAGCACACATGAACCACAAGTCCTCCAAAATGGTGAGTAGCCCCAGGATAAATCACTCTTCCCAGACCCTGCTGTACACAGGGCACATAGCTCTTGGGGAGAGCCAGCACTGGGGAGTAGGTGGGGGGGGCTGATAATCATTCCTGTCCCCACACTTTCCACAGGATGTGATCATTAGGGAAGATATCTTGCTGCTGAGGGTGAGCAGGGAATCAAGGGAGGGTCTTCTCCAAGACTACAGCTTCTGCTCTGGTCCCTATGCGGCTTGCTTGTGTGCAGCAATGGTCCCACTCTCCCTTGTGACGGCACAGTGGCACGGGAAAGTTATCATTAATGGGGCAAGAAACAGAGCAGCTCTGCCGAAGGACCTGCGGCAGCAGATTGCCCAGTATCTCCATGAGAATTTCCCGGATATCTGAGGCAGATTCCCATGAAGTGAGGGAGTCAGTCAACAACCTGTTCCACCGCTCAGACTAGGCAGGTGGTGGGAGACAAGCCTGCTTTCTGCAACCCTCCTTCTCCACCCCCTCCCCAACTCGCTTCAGCAATTCCCAAACTCAAATCCACTTACCAAGGGCCTCCTCTCCTGTTTGCACTTCGCCAACATCCAACAGCTGTACTGGCTAGCCTCCTCCGGGGTAGGAAAGAGCTCCTGGCTGCATGCATCTCGGACCTCTGAGTCATCCTCGGCCTCTGGGTCCCCCTTCCTCTCCTCGTGCAAGATTTCTTCCTCCTGGCTCGGTCCACTTTAGACTGGCACGCGAGCCTCTGAAGCATCCAGTGGCTCTCGCAGTGGAAGTGGGGTCGCTGCCGAGTATGGCATCCAGCTCTTTGTAGAACTGGCAGCTCGTGGGCGCAGCACTGGAACAATGGTTTGCTTCCCACACCTTGTTCCACAGCTCCTTCACTTTGACCCTGCACTGCAATGTGTCTCGGTCATGGGCCCTTTCTGTTATGCATCATGAAATCTGCCCATAATTCCTATGGCTGAAGCACAGCTAGGACTGGACACAGCTTCCTCTCCCCAAATGCTGATAAGGTCCAGCAGCTCAAAAGCTCGAAGGGGGGGATCGCCTGATGCATGGAGCAAGCATGGCCACCTGGAAAGATGTGCTGAGACCACGGCACATGTCACCAAGCAAACAGGAAGGGGACTTTCAAAATTCCAAAGGAATTTATGGGGTGGGGATGATGGTTGGTCACCTGAGGGCAGGGCAGTGGAGTTTAAACCGATGACTAGAGAGGCAAGAACAGGCATTGTGGGACACCTCCCAGAGGCCAATTGCAGCTCTGTAATTGACCACAATGTCTACACTGGCACTGAAAGTTGTATGC